GTGTTAGAGCTTGAACAACAGGAACCCTGAGACACCTGACGGTGCCCCCCTTTGTCGTTTCCTTGCCCGATCTTGGAAGAATTGAATTATCGATTTGGATTAGTGCCGTGAGATAGTAAAGGCGCTAGGTGCAGTTGAGTTAGAGATTTTGACTTTTGATTTTGGGGTGGGGGTGCAAAGTTGCAAAAAACGTTAATTGGCAAACTACTTTTACAGCTCATAACATCTAAGTTGGCACTCGGCCGATCACTGCTAGAACCTATTTCAAAAACATTATGTCCCGTCTTGCAGGTTGCATCAACTGTCCTCGCGACCTATATGAATGCACTAAAGTACATAATGCAAGGGGAGTCAACCCCGTGACGCAGCGGAACTGTTTGCAGTCCGGTCTTTTCCTTACCTCCATCCTCCTCCCGCCTACACTGCCCACGCTAGGCCAAGTGCCAGCTTAAATGTCACGAGCTGTAACTCCCTTGTTATTGAATGTAAGCTTTGACTCAATAGTCAATTATGTAAGTAAAAGGTTCTTTTAAATTGACTTTTTATTTTGGTAATGGGGGCATAGGTCAGTTTAAAAAACCATGTTGTAGCCTCCAGGGGTGGTCAAAAAATTTGGGGTCGGGGCGCAAAGTTGCATGTGCATATACTATACACCCGCATAGGCCTAATTATGTAACTGACTCAAAGTATACAAATGTTTGAGCACTTTTAGAGGTGCTAGGGAGTTTAAATTTGGCACGCTTCTTGGTCCTGGGCCCAAACCCCCGGGGAAATTCTGAAAAGTAACATTTTCAACATGTTACCCCCCCCCCCCCCCCCCCCGAAATCTCGGAGTTTCCCCTCCATGTCATTCTAATGATTGGGGAATAGCATTGAATGTGGTCGACTATGTGTGCTTATCTGAACTGTTTAGAAAAGTGCTAGAGACTTGAAATTTTGTAGTATTGTAGTATGAGATATTAAATTAACGGTGAAATTTGCAAAAGCCCATTTTCAAATTTTAACCCCCTCCAAAATCCCAAATCGCTGACACCTAAAACGAAAAAAACACGTTTTTTTTTTAAATGGCTATCGCTCTAAAATGGTAAAGATAAAGATTTAAAAGAATTTCCATGGTCAGGAATAAATTTTCTACACTAATCGCTAAAAAACGTTTTTCAAAAATTGCACTCCTTGACCTTCAAAAAACGCCCTATTTCGGAAATTTTGTAAATTCCTTTGTAATATATTATAAATTTCGCTATTTCTTTCTACCAAAGAAATTTTTTTTTTGTGCAAATATTATTAAAGCTTTGTATTTAGCTTAGTTTACTTTAAATTCCACTCATTACATTTTTTTTCGTAACTTAACTCCTTGACCCCAAAACTTAAGTTCCCCCTAGGTTTTTACCACTTTTACGAGCCCCATGTTATTCTTATGGCGAATAACTATGAAATTTAAAGACTTTGGTATGCTCATCTGATTCGATTAGAAACGTGCTAGGGATTTAAAATTTGGTAGTATTGTAGTATGGGATACTGAATTAACGGTGAAATTCCCAAAAGTCCTATTTTAAAATTTTAACCCACCTAAAAATCCTAAATGGCAAACATCTAAAAACGAAAAAAACACGTTTTTTTAACGGCTATAACTTAAAAACGGTCAAAGCTAGAAACGATTTTAAAGAATTTTCATGGGTAGAAGTCAATTATTCTACAAAACCCTACTTGGCGTTTTCCGAAAATCACACCCCTTCACCACAAAAAAAAGCACCCTACTTTCAAATATTGGTAAATTTTGTTCAATTTTGTTATGGTTTTCGCTACTTTTTCCTAACTAATCAATTTTATTATTTTATTTATTAATGCTTTGTACTCTCCTTAGTTTACTTAAAATTTTACTCACTACATGTTTTTTTGTAACTTATTTCTTTCACCCCTAAAATGTAAGATTGATGCCAAAATTTGAAAGATTCTAACACTGTTACGAGGCTCTAACAGTTTCCCATGATATTCTTAGGGGGAATAAGCTTGAAAGTGACTTACTTTGGTGTTAGTTTCTTAACCATTTAGAAACTTGATACCATTTAGAAACTTGATAGGGACTTGAAACTTTAACCCCTGGAGACTACAACATGGGGTTTTACACTCGCCAAGGCCTCTATTACTAAAATCAAAAGTCAATTTAAATGAATCTTTTACTTACATCCAATATCAAGGGAGTTAAAATTGGTTTGCCGATTAACGTTTTTTGCAACTTTGCGCACCCTCCCCTAAGTTGTCGACGACATGGGTTTTTAAACTCACCTAGGCCCCCATTACCAAAATCAAAAGTCAAAATCTCTGACTCTTTTCATGCATACTCAAATGTACCTAGCACCTCGCCTAAGATGGCAGCGATCGATTGTTTCCTGGTGGTTGCGCTTGGAATTCGTTGAACAGATACCTAGGAATGTATGGTCTGTTCGACGGCCCGGCGAAATTTTGACGATGGTTTGGAGAGCCTTGAGAGCCTTGTCGGTAGCTGGGGCTACGTGAGGAAGAAAATGTTGGATGGTGTGACTGTGGTCGGTAATTTTCCGTGCTGCGCTGACTGTCTGGCCGGGCACGGTGCGTTCACCCTCCAGCGCGTGTACCATTTGAACCCTAGGGGCCAGAGCCTGAAGATCTGACAAGGACTGTGCCGCAGGGAAAGCTCTTGTTGTCCCTGATTGTGCAAGTGCATACAACCTTTGCAATGTATGAACACAATTGTCACTTGTTGTATGTCCCTGACTGTGCATACAACCTTTGCAATGTATGAACACAATTGTCACTTGTTGTATGTCCCTGATTGTGCATACAACCTTAGCAACGTATGAACACAATTGTCACTTGTTGTATGTCCCTGATTGTGCATACAACCTTTGCAATGTATGAACACAATTGTCACTTGTTGTATGTCCCTGATTGTGCATACAACCTTAGCAACGTATGAACACAATTGTCACTTGTTGTATGTCCCTGATTGTGCATACAACCTTTGCAATGTATGAACACAATTGTCACTTGTTGTATGTCCCTGATTGTGCATACAACCTTTGCAATGTATGAACATAATTGTCACTTGTTGTATGTCCCTGATTGTGCATACAACCTTTGCAATGTATGAACACAATTGTCACTTGTTGTATGTCCCTGATTGTGCATACAACCTTAGCAACGTATGAATACAATTGTCACTTCTTGTATGTCCCTGATTGTGCATACAACCTTTGCAATGTATGAACACAATTGTCACTTGTTGTATGTCCCTGATTGTGCATACAACCTTAGCAACGTATGAATACAATTGTCACTTGTTGTATGTCCCTGATTGTGTATACAACCTTTGCAATGTATGAACACAATTGTCACTTGTTGTATGTCCCTGATTGTGCATACAACCTTTGCAATGTATGAACACAATTGTCACTTGTTGTATGTCCCTGATTGTGCATACAACCTTTGCAATGTATGAACACAATTGTCACTTGTTGTATGTCCCTGATTGTGCATACAACCTTAGCAACGTATGAACACAATTGTCACTTGTTGTATGTCCCTGATTGTGCATACAACCTTTGCAACGTATGAACACAATTGTCACTTGTTGTATGTCCCTGATTGTGCATACAACCTTTGCAATGTATGAACACAATTGTCACTTGTTGTATGTCCCTGATTGTGCATACAACCTTAGCAACGTATGAATACAATTGTCACTTGTTGTATGTCCCTGATTGTGCATACAACCTTTGCAATGTATGAACACAATTGTCACTTGTTGTATGTCCCTGATTGTGCATACAACCTTAGCAACGTATGAATACAATTGTCACTTGTTGTATGTCCCTGATTGTGTATACAACCTTTGCAATGTATGAACACAATTGTCACTTGTTGTATGTCCCTGATTGTGCATACAACCTTAGCAACGTATGAACACAATTGTCACTTTTTGTATGTCCCTGATTGTGCATACAACCTTAGCAACGTATGAATACAATTGTCACTTGTTGTATGTCCCTGATTGTGCATACAACCTTTGCAATGTATGAACACAATTGTCACTTGTTGTATGTCCCTGATTGTGCATACAACCTTTGCAATGTATGAACACAATTGTCACTTGTTGTATGTCCCTGATTGTGCATACAACCTTAGCAACGTATGAACACAATTGTCACTTGTTGTATGTCCCTGATTGTGCATACAACCTTTGCAATGTATGAACACAATTGTCACTTGTTGTATGTCCCTGATTGTGCATACAACCTTAGCAACGTATGAATACAATTGTCACTTGTTGAATGTCCCTGATTATGCATACAACCTTTGCAATGTATGAACACAATTGTCACTTGTTGTATGTCCCTGATTGTGCATACAACCTTAGCAACGTATGAATACAATTGTCACTTGTTGTATGTCCCTGATTGTGTATACAACCTTAGCAACGTATGAATACAATTGTCACTTGTTGTATGTCCCTGATTGTGTATACAACCTTAGCAACGTCTGAACACAACTGTCTCTTTTTGTATGTACCTTATTGTGCAAGTGCATACAACCTTAGCAACGTATAAACACAATTGTCACTTGTTGTATGAACACAATTCTCTTGTTGTATGCAATTGATTGTGAGATTACCTTTGAGACACAATTGTCTGTTGTTGCATGCACCTGATGGTGAATGCAACCTTTGAAACATATTTGATGGCTGCTTTTTCTTGTTGTATTATAATCCGATTGTGAAGACAACTTTGATACCTTTGATGGCTGTTTTTCTTGTTGTTTCATCTTGTTGTGAAGACAATCTGAGGTTCTTAGTACAGCTGTATTTTGTTGTGAGCTTTATTTTGCGGACAGCCTTTGAATCACCCTTAACACAGCTGTCTTCTGCTACATGCTTGTAGTAAACCTAGGAGACACTTCACTCAAAAAGTACAGGTGTTTTCCTAAAGGTTCTGTTTTGGTTCTGACTTTGGGTTTCTTTGCAGGATGAACATTCTCTGGATGATGACACTGCATCACAGCCTCCTCTCCCACCCCTGGATGGGGACAAGGATGACCCTCCTCGTCCTGACCATCCCGACACCATTGATGGTAAGTGGTGATCTCATTTATATCCAAACTTTGTTGATTGTGCATTTTCAATCCAGTTAACTAAATTTTTATTACTTACTTTTACCAAATATACAGCAATACAGCTTGATGCATGTTCCAAAGTCCCTACTAGCTATAACCCAGAGCTTTCATGCTATAGCTCTGAAAATTTACAGTAGGCGCCCCACTTCAGTAGATATTTGGGTATGGTGTTTCTCAAAGTCACGAATTATGGATATTTATAGGGATGCACTGTGGATGCGATGCTCCCTGTTGTGGATTAACGTCCACACTAGTGAGTACTACGACTATACGCAGTACTATCCTAATAATTAGACCAATTCGTTAATTACGAGGAAAAAATGTGGTTCGGATTCCACAATAAACTGTAGGTCCTTTAGTTGCCATTAGCTGTATGGGCTATTAATTAACAGCTGTGTCTAAGGAACATGCCGGCCTTAGTCACTAACAAGACTACAAGATCGGGCATTCATCCTACACTCATCCTTCACTCATATTTGGGTTAAAATACGCACATAGTGGCGTCCCCATCTTAAATAATTGATAATTGATAATGATTACCTTAAGTGAAAAAGCTACGTAGATTATTTTAAGGACCTGTTTACCGAACCAAAGTTAAACAATTTCTTGTTAACTGGTTTTGTAGGAAATATGTATTTTATTATCATTTAGGCTACCTACTTAATAATTTGCCTAATGGAGGATGGTAAAAGAAAAGGCAGTACTGAGATAATCTGACGGGCTCGGACGGGCAGAGCTAGATTGGTGAACCTTTTGGGAATATAAATGAAAGTAGATAGTTCATAATAGAGTCTTCTGCATGTGAAATAGTCTCTTAACTATGAAGCCATAGCCTCCTCTTAATACAAGGCTGCAGCGATGGTGCTATAGTCATATATTCTTTACTCAAGAGTAACATGCTGCACAAGAATGGTGTTATACAATTAAATTAAATAGGCTTATTTGATAAAACTAATCATATCTAAAAAAGCTAAATAAAAATACAAAAACTGATAGCCTACAAATTTACACCTATCAACAAATTCCCCTAGAGAATGGACAGGCTTGGCTAACGTAAAAGTTTTAACTGATTTTTAAATTTATTTTTGACTGTTATTTGTAAAAGAGTATCAGGCAGAAGGGTATAAAACTCATCCCGACATATGAAGGTTTTTTAAAATTAATTTTATGTTATTATGATTTGAAAAACTGATTTAATGTCTGTTCCTTGTTGTCCTATAGCTGTGACATGAACTCAAGGTCTCGAATTTTGATAAATTATTCTTTATAAACAAGATTAAATCAAAAATATATTTTGCTAAAACAATAAGAATGACAAGTTAAAAAATTTTTCTTTATCTAAAACTCTACAATCTCGAAGGATTGATCCTTGTGACACACAATATTTAAAATTTGTTAATGATGAAGTAAAATTTACCTTATTCCTGTTTGTGACATTAGTTATTTCTACATATTGTTGTTTGTTATTTAAATATGATTTAGAAATACCAAGCGGGGACTTGGTGGTGGATGAGTCTCGCTTGAGCCCCTGTCTTGTGCCAAGAAGTCCAATGGATCCTCTTACTCTCCATTTGCACTAATGAATAAATTGTTTGTGAATAATCAGCTGAATATACATTATACAGGACTTTATTGGAATCATTAATCAAAAGCCCAATAATGAATTACACCCAATTCCTATTTAAGTTTATTATCTTGTTGTGATATATCATTAATCAACGGTTTTTTTTTTGTCAAAAGTTGTATTAACAAGATCTTTTATAGAGTAGCCAAGCTTTTTTGTAAGCTGAAAATCAGATAAACATGGTTGTTACCCTCAAGTTCAATGAATGCCACACAGTAGACTTGACAAGAATCCTTTTCATTGTCTGTGTAATCATTAAGTGCAAAAATAGCCTTTAAAGTGATATCACTTGCAACAACTCATTAAAATTTACAACCTTTTATTACTCAAGAATAAAATATTATGCTAACCAAATAAAATCTAAGTCTGATATTGATTTTCTTGGAAGTTGAAAACAGTTTTAAACCGCTATTAAACTTTTTAACAAGCCCTTTTTTACACCGCGATTCCTGGAAAAAAACTACAGACCTCAATTACTAGTTATCCTGTAATAACCAATAATTATTTAAATTTGTTAAAATATTAATGATATTTTTTACCTGTTAAAAACACATGTTAAATATGGTTAAATTATGTACCTATGTAGTTTATCAAATCTACTATCGAATCTAACATAACAATTCAAATAAATAAATATACAACTATTTAAGTTCAGTAAACCTCATATTAATTTTGGGTTGTAAATATGGATTTTTTTCGATCACATTGGTTAACTTATTTAGTTTATTTTCATTTATTTTACTTTAAATTATACTCTAACACTAATAACTTGTAAGATTTTCATTGCAAGATTTTTTTCTCGGAATATTATTGGGAATAAAAAATATATAGGCCTACTTAAACTATTTTACACACAGTTAACTGTTCTGAAACTGCACAGTCAAAATTCTCTCATAAGTTAATGTAAAAGTTATCTGTAAGCATGTGTTGATTTTAGATGTTGATATTGTGTTTGTAATTGATTATTCATTTTTGGATGATGGTGATTTTTTTTATCATTTGTGCACTGTCTTTGAACTTTGAGTAGTTGAACAGCTTTTGTATTCTCTCGGTCCTAATTTCCTTCAGGAGAAAACCAGTATGAACCCGTGAAAGCAGAATTTTAAAATTTTAATTTAATCTAGACATGAATGTGGATGAATTGTCGGTTATTACATCTGTAAGATAGATGGTTTTACAGCTGAGTGTGTCTTAAATTCTTTGTATTGGTCATCTCATTGTTAACAAAAGATTTGACTTGTTTATGAATCTTCGCAAGTTTACAAGTTCTTCAGTTTGAGTGTTCTTCAACATACATCATCTGGAATCTAAAAAGGAATTAGAAGATTTACTAAAATCAACTTTGAAGATTCTTTAAGGAACTAAAATTACTTATTTATTAGTTGTATGTATGTATAAAATAATTTAATCTCGTTTTAAGTTATTCGTTGTTCCAAAACTGTTATTTTGGGCTGTTTCAAAATTTGCTAAACAAATCAACTAAGAGTAAACCCTCATTAATCCAGACTAATTGGAGATTTGTCCTGGAAATACAGGTGTTTCAAAATCGTTATTCCAATATAAGTACAGAATGTTTGTTGTCTAGTAATTGTATAACGTAAAATATATGATGTAAAACTTTGAATATAAAAAAGATTTTAGTCTGCACTCTACAATATGTTTTGAAGATTATATGTTCTGTATTCCGTAATGTAGGTCCGGTTGGAGAGCGAGCTACTCTAGTAGTCGTAGAGTGCGGGACTTCAGTCTCCGAGGTATCGGTTTCTAATCAAATCCCACCAATCACAAATAGATTTTATCTAAGCGAGAATGTGGCGACCCTCTTTAGACCTAACCTGAAGTAATGTGTATAACAATTCCGATCTAGAACCTAGAGGAATAAAATAAATGCAGTTCAGGTACGAAAATGTTTAATTCTTTAAACTTCTTGATGATTGTTGTTGGCGGTGTTTCTTTTTTAACTTGGAAACTTTGTATATCTTGTTACTTAATTACCTTACTATTTTGTATGGAGCCTTTTTTATACAGGGTGATCAACTCAAGGAGGCCACCAAGTTGAGATATCGGAAACTGTAAGAATTAGAGAAAATGGCGGCTGAAATTCAAAAAACTAAATTTATATTTTTAACTGCCACAAAAAATAAAGGAATGTCCCCCATTTAAAGTTTTCTCTAATTCTTACTGTTTCTGATATCCCAATGGTGGCCTCCTTAAGTTGATCACCCTGTATAGTAGTTACGTTTCTTTATATACTAGACAAATATCCTCCCTTAAATAGGGTTTGGATCAGATATATTATAATGAGCATCAATCGTCATTGAATGTATATTACATATGAAACTGCAGGCAATTTAAATGACAGTCTTCTATACTTTTGAAAAATGTATTCTCTCTCTAGTATAATTGTATAATAATAGTATATAATAATGGGTAGATTCCCTCCACTCTGGCCTCGGTTCCATCAGCCACCAGGTTCAGCCCACCTACAAATTATATCATTTACTTGCAAATCAAATTTCAAAAAGTCAATTGGCCTCTGGAATACTGTTTTTTTTTTCTTTTAAAATGTTTAAATACCAGCATATAGTAAGTTAGTTTTCTAGGCTAAACCAATCAACAGACTTAGTAGGAGTAATCCCTTCTTTTGGTGGTAGTTAGCTTAGTTTATAAAAAATTAACTTTTGAGACACGGATACATTCAACGAACATACTTTTGCACAGAAAAAAAAGGACAAAAAGTCACAAGGGATGCAATCAAACTGAAGGAAAAGTGTAGATAATTTTTAGTATACATGCAGGTATTCAAACAATAGGCTAGTAAGTAAATCGAGTTTCCTAGACGGGAATAAACTTCTAGTTTAATCTCTAGTTTAATTTCCATAATAAAACCCAGTTAGCTTACTAATTTATTAATTAATTCATTTTGTGTTAATGTTACTGTGTTATGTTATGTAGTGTTAATATGTGATTGTTATTTGAGTAGGCTAAGTAGTTTGAGAGCAGAAATTTATTTGTATAACATTCTGTAGGATCTTCTGTAATTTTGTTTTGCTTGATAAAGTATCTTGATAAACAATAATCAGCCCAGTATTATTATACGGAGCTAAAACATGGAAACCAAATAAAAAAGAAGAAAAGAAGTTAATCACATTCGAAAATAAGATTTTAAGAAAAATCTATGGACTAATTTATGAAGGTGGTGAATGGAGGAAGAGACACAACAGAGAACTGAGAGAACTCTACAGAGATCCAGATGTGGTGTGTAAATTTAAGTGTAGAAGAGTTAGATGGGCTGGACATGTTTTACGAAGAGAGGAGCAAAATAAGTTAAAAT